CAATTGCGGTAGGCTCCTGAGCTCGACGGTGATGGCAGATGACGTCATATTTTGGAGACAGCGACGGCAATGAAGAAGGGTCTGCTTCTGTTCTGGGAGAACATCTGAGGAATATTTTGCCATTAAACTTTCATCATCAGCGGTATCCTGTGCGACGAAACCTTTGATGATGTACTGTAAGCCGCGCCATGCAAGCGCGCAACTTAATGTTTTCAATGACTCATCTACTGCCTTCAGGGCGTGGCGAGCCGTCCGAGAGAACGATCGAGGATTTGAAAGTCGGAGGAAGTCGAACTGCAGCCTAGGCTCTTCAGCTTCTTACCATCGTCGGGGCGACGCCCCAGCCTACCCAGATCAACTTGCGATACCTTGTTGTGCCTTGTGCGTTCGTGGTGAGCGTTAGCTCCTTCTGTCTACCGATTACATTCCTACCTTGTTCGTTCGTTAGCTCCTTCTGTCTACCGATTACATTCGTACGACTTCTTTTTATTTGTAGTATTTCTGTTATTAATCAATGTTCTATGCCTTTATTGTTTTTTATGCTTAGTAAATAGCAGGTTCAAGGCAAAGGCATGGCGCACCTCCCCGCGCGAGCTTACTGTCCGCCATACGCAAAGTGACCTGCCTCAGCCCCCTTTCCCTCTCCCCCCCCCCCTACATAAACACTCCTTCTGTCTATGAGCTCGACGACAAGACTAAAAGTATTGCCGGTAAAATTCTCGTCGTCTTACTAGATCCTCACTTAAAAACGGCGAGATCGCGTCTTCATTACTATGGAAGACTTAGCTCACAAGGAAAGGATGGTAGGTCGAAGTGGCCGTATAAAATGAGATGTATACCACCTGATGCGTCTCTAGACGCTGATTCCAAATCTGCCTTCCAAATCTGCTAAACGGCTCTCCGAACGGAGTTATGAAGCGTAATAGCTCAGTGGTGATGGTCCGGGGTGGCAGGTAAAAGCTCGTAGGATCGGTTCCTTTGCAAATTGGTTGCTTTGCTTTTGTCTCTAGAAGTGTTGCGGACAAAAGCAAAGCAACAAACTTGCAAAGGAACCGATCCTACGAGCTTTTACCTGCCACCCCGGACCATCACCACTGAGCTATTACGCTTCATAACTCCGTTCGGAGAGCCGTTTAGCAGATTTGGAAGGCAGATTTGGAATCAGCGTCTGGAGACGCATCAGGTGGTATACATCTCATTTTATACGGCCACTTCGACCTACCATCCTTTCCCTTGTAGCATATGTCCCACATCCCATGCGTTCGATCTGATAAGTCACCCTATACGCCTTATATTGTGATCGGGGATCACTGCGAAGTGTCTGAACTTCTGTGTGATATGGTGGCGCAAGCAGAGCTGCGGTCCCTGCTAGCTGCAGTTCACTCTTTCGAGGAAATTATGAAGATGTTTCGGCTGGGAACAAATGCGATAGGCCTCCTTAAAGGAAGCCATCACGCTTGCTTCGAGGTGGAGTTAAAACTACGCGCTGTCAACCTCAAGACCGGTGACAAGAGCTGTTGGTGAGCTGGACGAGCATAATCCCATGAAGGATATGATCGATAAGATAAGAAGATACGGCTGCTTGGCATGAGGTGCACCTAGAATGAAAATCGGACGATAACCATAACAGTATCATATCAAGTTCGCTGTCATTGCAACCTGTTCCACCTCCAAAACGTTGGTGCGGTGATGAGTTTTGGAAATTCGTTCCAGCGTCTCATCAAACCGTTGCAAGCCGCCACTGCCCTGAAGTGTTCAACTATCGCTCATGAACCGCCAGCTCGCCTATCCAATCCACTATGTAAGTTCCCCGTTCGTCCAAACGGGATCTATCGGGACCACTTTACTCGTGTCGGCTATTGCGGATAGCTTGACCTTTTAATTGATGGCTTAGGCAGGGACACAAGGGCTCGTCCGTCTCACCTGAAAGAGCAGTTGAAGGAAATAGATCTTCGCCAATACGAAAGCGATCCATGTATATAAGAAGCCTTCCTGCGGAAGAACAATTACTCTGCTTAAGACATGCGATTAGGAGTTCAGAGCGCGGATCGTCTCGGATCAGTACTTCGTAGCACATGTCGTAAGCACTCCACTCGAAATCTTGAACAAGTATCATCACCGCTTTTAGTGAATGCTGCCAAGGGGTTGCTTACTGCACACGAAATCAGTGACCGCGTTGCAATTCGCGCCCCATTTCAACTCGGCGGCGCCAAATCGCAATTTTTGTTTTTTTAGAAACCTTGCAAGTTTTTACTGCCCTGTGGTGTTTACTTCTTGATCCTTATTTCCTTTGTTTTGGAATGTGTTTTTTTAAGGCTAGGTCGTGACATAGAACCATTCCAGAAATTCACAATGAGTTTCCTTCTCGATATTCGCCGGGGGTTCGGCGCCATACTTCATTGAAAGGGTTTTGAGTTGCCTCCACAAGCGAAAAGAAACGGCTATGGATGCGTTAAACCATTTAAGGAGATTGTGATAAAGCTACTAATCATTTCCCAAAAAATTTTTGCAGAAAACTTATACACCGGTTCGGCATCGGATTGATATTGCAACTATGGACAGATTTGATAGTGAAATTGATGAAGTTGTGAAAGAACTTTTTGACGAAAGTTCTGAATAAGGTAAGTGGTGGGCAAGCTTTCTTGGCGAGATGCCATTCCACTTTTTTGATATCTCTCGTTCCTGGATCCCCATCAAATTACATGTTACGCTGCATCGAGTACTGACTTTGGCCGCCCCTTTACTCATTGAAGCTATGGATGGCTAGTTTGAAATGCTCGTATGCAGAGACAAATGAGAACAAGTCGCGTTTTTCTTGAAGACGGGTTTCGCAATAAAATATGTAGCCGCCCGTTAGCAGTTATGACAGAGATGGTTGAACGTGCAGTGGTGGAGAGGGAGAACACAAAGAAAACGGCTAGAACTCAAGAAATGGGACCCTTTTTGTCAGTTGATTCCACGGAGAGACAATGATCAAGGGCGCGTTTGAAGTGTTAATTCCGAAAGCCGGTATTATACCGGCGGCCAATGCATTTGCATAGCATAAGCCATTACCTATGAAAGAATGCCTCTCCAAAAATGAAGAGCAACGATGTGGTAATAGCAACTGACACCATTGTACCCCTGTAATATGAACTCAGACGATGGTGAGTGTGTCGCATCGTGAGCGTAGCCAGTGGAGCTGTGCTAGTAACATACCTTTTGCTGCGAAATGCGCATCGTCCCGCACCCCTGCGCGCCCCCCGCCTCTCTACAAGGTTTATACTTACTTACTTAGATACTTAGATACTTAGACGACCCGTTGATCAGCACGGCGGTTGGCCTTGCGCGGGTCTCCAACTTCTTTTCCATTGCTCGCAGTCTTGGGCCTTCGTTGTCCAGTGTACGGCCACCTTAAGAGACCCATAGAGCAGTTTTTGAGCTCCAATGTTCATCATTTCTTCTGATCAAATGCCCAGCAAATCGGCTGTTTCGCTTCATTGACGTGAACCAAAACGTCCTTAATCTTCGACATAGCTCTGACGTCAGAATTGTGCAGGCTCAGTTCTCGTTGACGGCTCAGCGTTAGGCCTATCAGACGACGTTCAATTGATGCCTGAGCGGATTGAAGCCTCTTTTCTAGCGATTTTGTTTAAGGCCCAGGCTTCTCCGACATATCTGAAGGGAGGCAGCTCTGACGAACTGAATGACTCGGCCCCGTGCTTGCGATCCAGGGTATCCTCTATAACACCCATTGAGTTGAACGCGGCCCATCCCAGGCCTTGCGCATGTCGATTAACTCGCTGGAAAGATCGTTGTTATGTTTATCTGGCTCCTGAGGTATATTTACTCCTCAACATCTTCGATAGGGCTTCCTTTCAGAAGTACAGGGGCCCTAGTTGGAAAATAAATCCGCGTGACCTTTGTTTTGGAGGTTTTGATAACGAGACCGCAAGGACTTCCTTTCTTGTCCAAAAGATTTAGCATCTCAGAGGCATGTCCTGGCGTATCCGTAATCAAGACAATGTCATCGGCGAAGCGGACGTGATTTAGACGTACTCCATCTATGTTAATTCCTAAGCTGTTCCAGTCGCAGCGACGTATCATAGATTCCAGACAAGGTATATTTTCCCTTCCCTCTGAGCTTATTGTGGAACCCTTAAGAGAGTTGGGCAGGGAAAAGTGAGCAACTTCAGGACATTGACGGCTGCCGTTATGCGTGGATCTTGGCATCTTTCTGATATTTGTTTCTTAACGGTCTCTCCTGAATTACTTCATTGTTAATAAAGAGTATATAGTTTTTCTGAACCCATTAACGTGTTTTGAATCATGAAAACATTCAATTACTTATGGAGAAACGAGTCTCCCCACCCGAAAATGTGACTAGTCGCCGTGTCACTCTGTCGTCAATGCGCCCACTACGATTATATTTTATGCAAACTTTTCAGTTCGGTAACTATTTTTATCTTTACGGTGCGTCGTTCAAAGAGACGCAACGTTTAGAAGGGTGCCATATGGAACCAGGAAGCAAATTTTCCACTGTTTGAACAAATGAGAATGCTATACGATTGGCAAGGGTGTGACAAGTCATGCCATCGACTCACATGGAAGTCGAGCGAAAACTGTTGACCGTCAGCGATATGTTCATACTTAATATTAGAAGCTAACGACATCATACGTTGTTAAGCCTTACGTGGGCAGGCTGTCGTGGTATATTGCAAATCACTGTGGGAAAAATTTGAATTTACTTGGGTTTCTGAATAGTTACTCGAGTAGGAGCTGGTGCTAAGGTAGTTAGGAAGCGCAAAGCTAAAGGCTAAAGTTGTTAAGTCAAAACAGCGAAGCCACACCATGTGTTCGTGCAATCAACCTGAATTATTTTGCAGATTGTTGGCTTTTTCAAGAGCGACGTCGGAACGCCTAATTTTAAGAGTAATGCTTCCGCCAAACTAACTCCACGTGAGTGGTTTCATAATCTGACTAATAGTCAATAGTGATAGTGGTTCATCTCAGGAAAATTGATGATGGCGATGGTTCGATGTAACTTTTCGGATGTGGGCCGAATTACTGATGGTGTCATTGGTCGACTCCAGCGAGAGATCAGCAGTACCGTAGTGCTCAAACCTGGCGAAATGAACATTTTTGGTGTTGTTAACAAGCTCAGGAGCGATAACGGAAAGGTGTGAAATGCATTAGTGTTCTGGTAATAGCACCATTTTGAATCTTTTTCCAGGGAAAGCGGCTGCTTGTTGTGGAGCAAGGCGAATCTCTCAGTCCACAATTGTTGAATGGACTGTTTTACTGTCTTTCTACTGTTAGTAGCAGTATAATAGTTCTCCTGTGCCTACGAATGTCTACGAAACGAGCAACGTTCTTTTCTGCTATGTCACGAAGGGTTTTGGCATCTCTTGATGTTAGATGCTATTCGATATCCTCGTCCGACGAGGTGTTCGATCGCCTTGCTTCTGCTGTGCTACTCAATCCAACCTTCACAAATTTGAAAATCGAACCGACATTTGCGAGATTTCTGAGGTGACTTATACAATAAATTCAAAAGCATTTCTTCCACATAGATTGTTTAGCGGATTTTTCCAGGTCATCCTTCTTTCGGGATGACTTTTCCAATCTCCTTTTGTGAAGAAGTCCCTCCGATTCGCCCTTATGCAGCATTTGTGGAGAACGCATAGGCTGAATTTGAAGGTATGTTTTTTATTGAGATCATATATTGATTGGTTGAGTGAACGAATACTTTCGATTAATAATTATTGTAACGCCCTTATACAACTTCAAAAGTTGTGAATAAATAAAATATTCCTCCAGCTTGATAGTAGGAATGAAGGGCACTGGGGTCTGTTCTGCCGGCGGGAAGTGAGACTAAAAATATGGAACCTCATTGGGATTGATTCTTGAACTATGAAAGCTTCTCCTTCTTAGTAGGCACCATGGAGGGCCTGGAAGCCTACAACCTGTTTGGCGCGAGACAAGGGTGGATGAGGTGGGTGCCGGGGGTTTGAGCGAGCAACTTGATCTACCCAGGCCTGGCTCTCAATCGCGGACCGGCCAAGGCCTATCAGCTCTCACCACCACTTCAAAAGACAAGCTGACCTAGGGCTAGCTAGAGAATGACGGGTGGTTGATTTTCTCTCAGGTACATCTTTGATCTCACACTGTCCCCTTCAGCCAGCTATAGCGCTTCCTATCCTATGCGGGAAGAATTCGATGCAGTGAATAAGCTCAGGGAGGCGCTGTACGACTTCAAATCTCCGCTTCCCCGTTGAAAACAGCTGGCTCAGCGTTAGTGTCGACCAATAGCCGGCATGGTGCATACCTCTGATACCTGGACGGTCTCATCATTCAAATACTTACAAAAAGGCGGGGCGGCCATTTTTGCGGTCAAAGTTTGCAATAAATGTGAGTTTAAGGTAGGTGATACTGCTGATCTTTGATGTGATTTCAACAAGGTGGGAACCATTCTAGACGCCTAGTTTCTTTGTTTCTTTATCTCTTATTCTATCGCAGTAGACTTCTTTGCCTTGTTTGATGGTGTACTGAGCACCTCCACATTTTTGATAGTTTCTTGATGATGGGCTTCGCTAGAATTCCGTTATCCCTTCAGAAGCGCCGATGGTACTTCTTGCTTTAGGATGGAATATCTGAGAAGATTGCTAGTGATATGAACGACGAGTACATGGACGTTCTGGTCTTCTTTGCATGGTCATTTATACGACTCAGAGTGAGTTACCATCCAGCTTTTCGGTGGGCGATGTGGTGTGATTTTTGGTTGTTAATGATCCGTCCGCGCTATAGTGCTGGTCCGTCACTTTCTTTTCACTTCTGTGAAACCAACTTAGTGCGTCACTCTGTCACACACACAACACCGTTCTCTGACGATATGGAACTCCCAAATTTTCAGGTATAGCCTCGTCTACCTCGTATTTTTAAGGCCACAACATAGCGGGGGAGAGAGACATATCAAAAAATAGGCGGGGCTTGCGGGCGTCCCTGCTCACGCGCGTAAGTGGTCTCTATTGTAGCGCCCAACTCGGGAACGGTCAGGTGTGTGGTAAGTTACGGACGGGCTCTAAGCGCACAGCGGCAGGATGCTGCTGTGCGACTTAGCCAAGAGTGCTCAGGTCGTGGTCTGCAGACTCGAGGTGTCAACTGCGCGCGCAGAGCTTCACTGTTGTGTGACTCAAAGAACACCAGAGTGAACAGCAGGTTAAGCAAATATTTGCAGCAGGGGCTGCTCTGATTTTCGCGTAAGAACCTCGGATGGCTGTTCTTACTGCTGTGTGGTGTCAGGGTAAAAAACTGCCATCTTTCCAAGTTTATTAAGCTTTGAATCCTGATCTTTCTAGCTTTGCTTCACTTTGGTTAAGACATGGGAGTCCAACCAAAAGAACTCATCAAGCCTTCGTGAAGTATCCACGAGATGTGCAGCTGGAAGCCGTTTTGGCTGAAAGAGATAGCTATGTTCAACGAATACAAGACGTGTCTTGAAATTCCCTTAGGGCTATGTGACAGAGAAGGCCAAAGCCTTCCATCAAATGTTCCGGGTAGGAAGCGATTAGTGACTTAGAAGCGAGTGCTTGGGACGTCAACGTAGTACGTCATCAGCTTTTGTTTATAGTCGCTTACGTGAAGAAGTTGCTAACAGTTTCTAATAGTTCGAGAGTGGCTTGCCCCATGCCACCCACAGCATTCGCCACAGCACGCGCCGTCGTGATGGATAGAAGTGGGATACTCCACCATAAAGCTGGTTCGCGCGAGGCGGACCAGTTTTTGAGAGAAAGTCCACCACAGGGGATCATTTGTAGATGCAAGGATTTGCTTCCAGTTCATCAAAAAACTAGCGTCGTAGCAGACTGTAATCAAAGGGACAGATGAAGCTTGAAAGTGAAGAATGTAGTTATGGTGTAGCACACCTGCGTATCAGCGTAAGACCACGAACATATGAAAGTAAAATGTTTTTCATTTACTTCTCTGCACTTAACAGTGTATCCCGTTGTTTTGTTCTAAATGCACGGCTGTTTTCCATTTAATCTAGTGGTTGAAATGATGACATAATATGACATCAGGCTCTTCATTCCCGTTGCATCAATATGAGCATAGGAAATTTTGCGAAGTTCGGTCACTGTCTCAGGTCCAGTTGAAAACTTGTCCTTAGCGGTAACCAGACAAAGTGAGTACGAAGCTCGGGGCTTTCTGCTCAAAAACACGTGGAGCGCCATGCATGGCCGTGTGCAGCCATGATTCCTAGGGTTGATAGCCAGGCATCTAGATTGCAAACGAAAGAATCGCTCGTTATGAATAACCTCTACAATTTAGTCATGGAAATGCTGATGGAGTTTGAGAGCAATGAAGTCTTCCTAGCTTTCTTGCCGAAAAGAGCGAAAGAACAAGCTTACGCGTAAGAGCTTAATTTAACCCTTTGACGACCGCCGTTATGAATGCGTCACTTCACTTCTTTCTAAATTTTTTCATCAATAATCATTAACTCTCCAACAATTTCACTATTAGTAATTAGCGCATTATTCCGCGAATTCGATAATGTATTTGTGTAGTTTTGAAACATGAAAAATGCCAAAATAAACCCCTAAAAACGTGTCGCCACCGAGCGAAAGTGTGGCCCACCGGCGGGCCACACGGTCGTCAAAGGGTTAAAAGACGTTGTCTGTGAGTAAGGACTGCTACCACTATGTTTTTGCGGTCATAGTTTTGTCCAGAGAATCGTTCTACAGATTTTAGAGTAGATTTGAGCTTGAGTCCTAAATAGTGCTCCTCGGTGGGCATCTCCTTGCAAATGGCTGATTGACTTGATGACCTTTCCTTTTGAGTGCGACTTTTGGTGCTTACCAATTTCTTCGCTGCATAAATTTACCACACCCAATGAGATCGAAATGCAATCCAAAAAAAAAAATTTTTTTACTTAAATAAAAAGTATTCAAGAATTAGTTCTCGTCTGGTTTGCAGATACTGGACACAGTCGCTCAAACAAATGTCTAATGAAGAGCTTTCTCAATTGCTGAAACACAAGGGAATTGCAAAGTACGACATTGAATTAGATCCAATTAGCTTCGATGGTGAAGCTTCGGAAAACGTTGGTGATGTTAGCTTTTTTTCATATTTTTTTATCGACGTGTTATATTTTCTCCAATATCTTCACTTTTGTCATAAATCTCTGAATAGTCTTCGTTCATTATGAAGTTATTTTCGTTTTTTTTGGGGGGGGGGTTGCTCTATATGTCAAATCACTTTTCCGCTTGTCTGATAATAATGCTTTTCAACACCTTCACTGGGGGTTCTTCAGAGTGAATGTTTGACCCTTTGACTACCATGTCAGAAATATGTTCTACCACAATTTGGCAATTATTTGGAACAAGTTTGGCAACTATTTGGACAAGGACGCCCATTTGATATCATTCGTACACAAAGAGGAACAAAGCGTTTCAATACCATAAATCGTTCAATACTGAGGCAATTCGCTCCAGTAGCACTAGAGCAAATGCTAGCACATATTATGGCCAATGTATGTATTATTTGACCTCACGAGAAAATGAATTTCGAAAACATCTGCTATCTGATCGAATGACCTGTAGATCCAATTGAGAACACCTCCTAAGAGTTACGCGACGTTTCATTCTTGCACAAGATGCTAGGCCAAAACTGGATTGGAGAAAACCATAAGCTGCCTTCGGGCAGAAGCGCATCAAGAGGCTTCCACCAGCCCGTCCTGCTCTGCTCTTCTCTGTTCAGCTTTTGTTGACATCTCCTGCTTCCGAAAACTGCGTCATTATCGAGGTCTTCAGATTCCGCTTTCGTGCTATCCATTTAGCGGAAGTCCGCGGCGTTCGCTGATATCATTTCAGCTGATGAAATGTTCCTTCGAACGCTGTTCATGTTTCAGGTGATAAAATTAATCGGGCAGTGGTGCCACTGAAACTGCAAGTTTTAACAATATGCGAATTTTTAGTTATTATCTTTTTGCGGGCCGTACGCATGGCTCAGTGAGTTGCGCTGGGGCGTGCTGTAATATAAGATTGTTGCAATGTAAATGTCGTACAGATTTAGTTGGGCAGCTCTCCAAAGGTGCTTGCGTATTCATGCGAAAGAGGACATCTGAGAGTATACATATAAATTGCCATATTTATTTTTACTTGAATTCTTTCCTATGACTTATTGAAATTCGTGAGTGTGCACGTGAATGTTCTGCGACATGTTGAGGAGCTGATCCAGCTCACACGGTCATAGCAGACTTTCGTAAGCAAAAAGCGACCTACATCAAACCGTCCATAGGCTCGGCGAGAAAGAAAAACAATGGTTTCATGAAATCACTTCACGACGAAAAAGCTTCGTATTCAAAAAATAACCATCAAAAGATTGCGAGACCGCACTACTGGCCATATCCGCTAAATAGCTCTTGTCATACTCCATTTTATGCTGCGCATCCAAGTCAACGCCATACGTTGTAAAGAGGAACGATCCCGAGACTACGAAAAATCCTGACTCGGGAAATCCAAGTTGCCTGGCACAACCTCTGCATGAGGAATAGAGAAACCTGACACAGTAAGGTGGTATCCATTCCTTCTTCTGAGGTGCCGTATTGCTGCTGTTCCAACAATATGGGCATCCAAACGACATTTATATGCAACAAGCTAATGCATCTGAGCTTAATTACCTTAGCATGTGAAGGATATTTCTGTGTACCAATGATAGTCAAAGAGTTAAGGGGTTTTGCTTCACTTGGCTAGCTTTCTTCTTTCATCGTAAGGTTGAATCTGACGTTATTGTGATCTTCCGCCAGGAAGAAGGCGATCCGTATTCTGAAAATTGGTCATTTAAGGTTTGTTCTCGGCAGCAGTCGCGAGCACCTGATCGCGAGCTTCAGAAGTTGACACACACTCT